TCACCTGCACATTAAACCTTCCACCACACATTAAACTTCCTTATAACCCATTTCTACAGCAACAACAGTGGATAAAGTTTTGTGCTGCAGCAGCAGTGGTTGTCACCCAGTCCTGAAATTATAGGAGCTTATTTGCCCCCAAAAAACAAATTCTTTGCACCCAAGATTGGGGATTCTGACGGTTGTCTCATAAAAAAGTAATTTTAAGGCCCCAAATCCCTTTGAATAAATCGATAAACAGGACGTGTTTTGTTTTTTTGCAAATGATATTCTTGCGTTGAAATGATGAATACCCTAAACTCCGTTGCCATTATTTGTTTACATCCACACACTCGCCTGATTGTGTTTTCACTCCTCCTCATTCTGGGCCAGACATAATGCATTTTTAATGTGTTTTCAGCTTCGACATTTAATGTTGCGGTTTGACCAAGGCACACTCATAACTGCACTTAGACTGCAGCCTTACCGCTTTCAATTTTGCCTTGGCTCTAACTACACACCAGCAGTGTGTTATGCGTAATGAGTATATGCTGTACATTTGTAGGATCTCTGTTGGTTTTTATATTACTTGTAGAGTTGCAAAGACTTTGATGTAAAACCGTTTCATTAGCCTCGAAGACATCTCTTTAAAAGTGTTACAAGTCACAGTTTATGTTTGTAAAAATCAACAAAGTTGAACTTGTCGGTATAATTGTGTTAATTACGCCGGAGGTGAAAATCACTATTCCAATGATTGCATGTACTGTAGTAAAACCTATTGCTGCAAATGTCAATAAAGAGGGTTCATGCTGAGCTAATTACAACAAGTCATCCCTTCAGTTCTGAGCACAATAATAAAAGAATCCATAAAATGACTTTATATTTCATATAAACTGGTAAAAAAAGATTATGAAATAACTGAGCTTTAATCCCACTCTGCAGATCTTTAAACAATTCTGTCCTTAATGGAATTAGAATCTCCTGGTTTACTGCACTTTTGGTATCTGTTGCCTGTGGTGCTGGGTAAATTAAAATAATAAAATAAAAAATTAACAAGAAGTCAAGTAAACGTGTTCGTGTATGTGACGTGATTTACTTTGCTTTGGAAATGTTACATATCTGCCTGGGAGCCAGCATTGGATTTGCAGCTGCTTTGAAGTGTCAAAGTGTGTTTGTGAATGTATAGAGCGACCAGCTGACAGTCCGCTGCAGCAAACCCAAAATGACCATTTTTGTCACGGCTTGAGGAAAAGTCGGACAGACAGGGGCCAAAATATTAATCATCTGACCTTTTCAGTTTTACCACAGTGACTCAAAACCCGAGAAGCGTGCACCTGAAGTGAGACTGATGCACAAATTACTCAAAGGTCGTGTTATTTAGCTTTTCAAGAGAAGTCCACCCGACCGATAGCATCGACGGTTCTTACTGAAAGGGTGAAAAAAAAAAAGAATAAGAAAAAAATAAGCTCACGGATGATGGCGATATCGCTGCTGCTGATTCTCGGGCCCTGTCAGATTTTAAGTTGTGTTATTTTTGTTGTTTCTGGAGGCACTTCACTGGTTTTGGCTCCTGTGAGCATTTACTTTGTCTTCCTGCACCAAAAGAAATACTGTATGGTACAAATACACACCAATTAAAATTAATTGAGAATTTGCACACAGTTCTCTGGCAGCAGATTGTTTACTTGTTTGTCAGGTGCATGTGTGCGCCAGTTCTTCAGAGCTGAACCAAGCCAATTTTGTAAGTGTGAGTGTCTGTCTCTTTGTGTGTATGTGTATGTGTTTGTGTGTGAGAGCGAGAGAGAGAGAGAGAGAGAGCTTTTGCTTTTGCACGGTGTCAGGGGGAATAGCCTGTTGGGGTTACGGAGGGTGCAGTGTCGGGTGATGAATAGGATGCTTTTGTGCTCAGTCTTTCAACTGTCTGCAAACCAGTGAAGGAGAGAAAGGTGAGAGAGAAAGGGGGATGAGGTGAGTCAGATCGCCAGATAAAGGATGGTAGAGGGGGGAGTAGAGATAAAGTAGAGGAAGGGGAGATGAGAGAGACACTGTGAAGTGTGAGGAGTACAGGTGAGGCACTAGGGGACGTGGAGTTTTACAGAATAGGTGGTAAGGTGAGGAAGAGAGGGAACGAAATAAGAGATGAGAAAGAAAGAGAGAAGGGGAGAGAGAGAGCACTTGTTCAGTCAAGAACACTGCGTCCGTGTCTCTTCAGCTAACAAAGACACAATGAAGTTTGTAACCTCAAGAAATATTTCCTCGGGAAACATTCTAGGAGAAAAAAAAAAGACGACCGAAATAGAGTGACAAAATAGAAAGTTGTCTCCTCAGTAATTAGAACTCGGACACGACCCCGTGGCCTCAACCTTCACACATGATAGGGTTTGGAAATGAGCCAATCACATTGACAGATGCTGATGAATTCAGCCAAAGCTTGCTGGTGCTGCTGGTGTGGCCACTTTTAATACACAGCACATAAAGGGGCCCAGTGGAGTGCTAATAAAAAATAATGCACAATACATTTTAAATGGCACAGCAATCGGACTGAGACGGAGGCGGCAGTGTTGGAAGGTCAAGTGTGATGCAGAGCCTTGATGTATGATATTTGTGAGACCTTTAAATAGTAAAAACATTAAATTACTGTCACAGCAGCGGGAATCAACGCACACTGTGGCTTTAGTGCTTATCAGACCTCAATGATTTATTGATGCTGATGTTTATGATAATGCTGTCTGCAGACATTTACGATATGGATTATTTATTTTAAAATTACCTTTTTTACTTCATTACTACTTTGTTTTAACCCCAAGGAAACGCCAACATGCTATGAACAAGTATTATGTTATAATGTTCAAAAAACTGAATTTAATATTTTATGTTGACATTTTTCCTAAATTTTAGAATCTGGCATAATAATCAACAAAGCCATTATGTACTATTTGAAGGTCATATTAAAATGGGCTGTTTAGCAGCTCAACCAAATTGATGTCAAGGTGGCAAAGCACAGCAAAATAGTAACACAGTAGTATACTTGGGAGTAGTTATAATGTAATAAATAGACAATAAATATGAATAGGTGAATTTAACTTGTGAAAAAACACCAATGTGTTCTCTGCAGGCCAAACACAAACAAACACGTAAAAATAAACCATTAGCACCAACAAACCATTTCCAATGGAGGGTAAAATCAAATGTGGTGAAAAATAATGTTTGTCTTCACATTGCAAAAAGAGCTACAAAAAAAAAACAACAATTTTGTGGATTTTATTCAGTCAACTCCGACTTTAATTTCCTTTCCCCTGTGTGTATCTATCAGCCCACATGAGTGTGACTGTGACGTATTCCAATTTTAATCTGTCTCCACAACACAAACAAAAAATACTTTAAAAATAACAGCACTGAGCAGTAGCAGCAAACCATTCCTAACAAACATGAAAATGAACACAAACATGTTGGAAAACATGCCTTATTTCACCAGCGACTTCAAATTGGCCAGGATTAACGAACCTTGGCAAGGACAGATGCATTTTTTTTATCCATCAGCCCCCAGCAGCGATCCTCTGAGGCGGACACAGCATGGTTTTGTATGATAAAACAGTAGTGCTGAGGCCGTGGGATGAGAGAGTGGGCGATCAGGACACAGACTGTTTTTCACTACAAACAGCAGGATGAGATGTGGAGCCCGGAGAGCTATAGCATCCATACCGCACACAGCCAACACAGCAGGCATTCTCCCTGGCTCTGCAAAGTCATATATAGGCTCTCTTCTCCTCACCCCTCTCCTCACCCATCTCCCTTTGTGCATCTGGATAACAGCGTAGGCAAGAATTAAAGAAAGTGACTCAAGTGTGACCACAACAAATGGGGAAAAAACGAGGCAGGATTTCAGTGTGGACAGGACCTGATTGGTTTTAAATCTCACTGAGAGTCGTCAAAAAATGAACAATGGAGGCAAACAATTGGAGAGAAGAGTGTTTTTAAGCCAGGTGATGATGTGAGGAGGCAGACATCATTAGCCTCCATCATCACACTTCATCTGAGGAGAGGGGAGTCACTGCCTGTTCCGCCAGCGTAATGAGCTGCAAGTATGAACAAAAGCAGATGGCTTCAGCGCTCATAATTAAATATATGTATCATTTATTTCAATGTAAGCAGTTTTTTCTTTACTTGTTGCTGTATTTCAAAGGAAATCCATTATCATGACACTGAGGAGTCGCAATCACTGCCGAATCAGCAGGAGTTCAATGGGACTTTGCATTACCGGCAGGAATAATTTATCTACGCTGAAAGAGAGTTAAAGTACAGTCAGGCCCAGCTCGCTGATAATGGTGCCATGATGAACGACGTCCTCTCTATTATGTTGTCCATCCTCGGAATCCCCATGACATAGTGTTAATTTGCCTCTGACACAATAATAAAAAGATGTATGGCCCTTAAGTGACCTTATTAGACTTTAATACGGTATCATGTGGTTCCTGTATGTCATAATATATTAACAGAGCATCAAAGTCACCAAATAAAATTATTCACCCACACTAAATTTATGGGCCGCTACTTTATGGCTTGTTTAATCTTTTATGATTACATTACTGGGGAGAAAAGTGAGTTATCTGTGTCACTGCAGACCCCGAGCGGCGAACCTCCCTCCCCTCAGTGGAAGGGGTTTTAAAATAAAGTGAATCACAAACTCCAGACAAGTACAAATGGGAGCACCAAGCTGTCAATCATCCTGACATCCTCTGTCTGGGATGATTTTTTTTAAAATATATATTTTTTTTTTTTTTTTTTTTTTTTTGCAGAAGGTAAAACTTGGCCACATGCTTATCTGTTCTTAAGAAGCTTCCCGCTGCCCGCAGACGAAATTGATGCACAATTCTAAACAGATCCTGAGACTAAAAGCACCACAAACACCTGCAACTCCTCTTTCTCCCCTTCATCCCTGGACCAACAAACAGCGCGTCCTCCTCCTTCCCTCCTCTCTCATCCACGGTGCACAGCAGCAAGTGCAACAGTACAGTACTCACCCCCAGTTTCTTACTCCGTATCCTCACGTATCCCTGCTTGACTATGTCGTTGAAGTTGGAAGCCATGGTCAATGTGAAGCCGGGCGCTTCCGTGCCCGTGGCCAGAAAGAGAATATGTGAGAGGGGGAAAATATGAATGTTTCTGTGTGTGTTTGGAGGAGGCGAAACCTTCTCGGTGGAGGTTCGGTCGCAGCCACAGCGAGCAGCGGTGCAAACCTGCTCCTGTGTCAGCGCTCAGGCTGCCGGGTTTCAGCGGAGAGGAGGGAGATACCATTCATCAGCTGATTCACTTCAGCAGCAGGAGGAGAGCTTCCTGGACCACACCATCAGCACCATGCAGGGGCAACAAGGGGGGGTATTTTCAAGTCACACCTTCATAAATAATAATTTATTTCTCTTTGCATTAATAGTATTTTTTAAAGTGATCCAAGCCCTTAATAAAGATGGAACTAAATATATATAAATAAATGCAGACGTCGAAACCTGAACATATACACATATATAAATAGAAAAAATATTGTTTTTTGTTTTTTTTCAGTGCTGTTTACAAGGTACAAGGTGCACAGTATTTTCTCTTTAAATGGCACATCAATTGGACTCAGGGAGGAGGTGGTGTTGTAAAAGGCAAGGGTGAAAGGTCAAATGTGAAACAAAGTCTTGATGTATGACATTTGTGAGACCTTTAAACAGGGGGAAAAATCTGACGCATTGGGGGGAAACAGTGCATCCTGTGGCCCTTTGAGCATTTAGTACTTATTGAACCTTTATAGTTCATTGGTACTACTACTATTACTACTAACACTAACACTACTAAGATCTATGATATTTGTAGCCTGACCATGCTAAAAATCGATTAATCTACTTTGCAAAACTGGCCAATCAGGATGCTCTTCCTCTCTGTCTTGTATGCTATTATCAGATGCTCACTCTCTCTGCCTCACTTCATGGTTGGTTTTGTCTTTATTACAGCATTCTCTCCTTTAGATGTCACTAGAGTTTAGTGGCATGAAAGCATTGACTATTTTTCCTGTCAGTCCAAAGTCCAAAGGTTGAACTCATGTCACGGCTACACACGGTCACACATGTTTACCTACTAGACCATTTAACACACAGTTTAATGTCATGCATTTGTTATTACAACATGCCTTTACCTTGCCTTACAATAGGACCCCTCCCAAAAGCCCATCTGTGGTCTCAGTCCAGTCCAGTCTAGTCCAGTCCAGTCCAGCTCAGCCTGTGGGAATGAACAGTTTAAAAGGCTGCTGTAGGTTATCTTGTGAAATGGTCAGTGACTCATTCCCTCAGAGGATCAATTGAGTATTAATTAATCAGTAGTAGTGCCTGGTGGAGCAGTTGACTGATGTTTGTCCTTAATCGACATTCAAGTGAAATATGAGCTCAGTCAAAGCATAATAGCCACATCTCCGGATATAGGCCATAAATTAGGCTTTGATCATAAATGTAACTCTTTGTAACCTTTAAATGGCAAATTACGAACGTCATTCCACTTGACACGGAAACATCATTGGATTTCAAAGTACCTGCTTTACCTCACACTGACCTGGTTTCTCAGGTTTTGGTCAAAATGACCACCTGAGCTTTTATACAGACTCCCAGGTTTTGTGAAATATTCCAACCAGCACGTATTCTTTAACAGTAAGAACAGAAATGACTTGAGGTGAAGACCAATGTGAATGTCTGGCTTTTTATTAGTCAGTCCACAAGTTATTTAAGTTACTTTTCTTAAAGGATTCTTTTTTTTTGGTTTCTAAAATACAAGTATGAACAAAAAGCTAATTAACTACTTGCTTTCAACTCCACATCCCACTAATAAATGAAATACATTGTGCGGCACATTATGCCATTTAAAGGTTGCCTTGAATTGATAGTGTTTAATTTGTCGAATAATGCAACCAGACAGTGTAGTGCCACAACAATGAATAAAATATATTGTAAGTAAGTGAGACAGACTGCTCAAAGTGCATAACTAATGCCTGCAGATTGCACATTAGAGGTGCAAAGACGATGGCGGTCATAAAAGAATTAAAAAAAAAAAAAACAGAAAACAATGACAACAACAAAAGAGGAATTCAAAAGGTAGAAAGTGTGTGTGATCCCTGACAATGCTGCGACAATAACTGGGATGTAATGAGAGGCACTGCTCAGGCTGTGTAATCACTCTCAGTGAAATCCTTGGTATTAGACAGCAGATGGCTCAGGTATATAGAGATGAGAGGCTTCCATTACTTATGTTGATTAAAATGTGGAGAAGAGCAGAGATGGCTTATCTAATAGACTTACACAAACAACCCTGCTATTAAGTGGCTGTCAGTCTTTCACGTCCGGATAGAAGACATCAATTTTACTGCAACAACAGAGAGTGGTAGCATTGGATTATGTCGCAGTAACAAAAGTAAAAAGTACCTTTTGTTTTATAAAGGACGAAAGTAGGTGTTTTATCACAGCTGGTCTTTGGTAATGGGATACAATTATTCCATCATGTGTTAATTTATTTATGTTGTTTTGTTACCATGGAAAAAAAAAACCCTCTCTCCTGAGGAAGAGAACACGATGCTGGTGTGTTCTGAGTGTCACTTTTTGAGTCCAGGGATAAACCTCCGTGTCTGACTTTTCTGTCTTGATCACATTCACCGGGGCACACTGGTGGCACAGCAATCTGCCAGCTTTTCCAACTCACAGCTTGACATTTATAGTCCTCATATCTCCCTGGATGTGTCCTCAAATTTCAGACTTGTCAAAACTGTTTTGTCTTCATAATCCTCTTTGTTCAACACGGGACTGTTCCATCCCCACTGCCATGTCATTTTCTCCTTAAATACTCCCTGACAGCAGCCGTGTCTTTTCATTGCAGGAAGTACTGTGTTCTGGCGAATGTCATTTCCATGAGGTGTCCCAGTTTTTCAGCGAAGTAATTGCCTGCTGAGCAACAATGCGGACAACAACTTTGGCCTTGTTGGTCTCGGGTATAGAGGCTGCATGCGTGGCGTGGATACAGGATGCAGGATGCTACATAATACAGCATATGGTGCTGACATACATGAGCGGCTGCCAACAGGGTCAGAAGTGAGAGGCGTTCAGCGGTGAGACCTTCACTGAGGTCACAAGCAAAGCATCTGCTGAGCTGTGGAAAACAACAAGAATCGACCACATAATCACTCATATTTTTCATTGTTCAGCTCATTTATCTGGTCTTTTTTGAAGGTTTTAATCCTTAAAATAGCTGAACATAAAAAACATAACGTTCACTAAGTTTAAAAAGAAAATCTTGAATCTACCTTAAGTCGTTAATTTTATCACAAACTAGGTAAAAGCAAGCATTAAATTGTTGTAATTGATGAATCGGAATCGGAATATTTAAATTGGCCTCCAATTGCTGAGGTATTTAATTTGTCTCATTGCTGTTTGGTGCACATTCACCAGCCCAAACATCTGAATAATTAACACAGTCTAAAGAAGTTAAATGGGGTGACTGAGATGAAGGGCTAGAAAACAGGCAGAATTATCATAATGCTGCGCTCCGAGTTGCTGTACTCAAACTCTTTCAAGCAACTCCCATCAGCCTGATATGTTAATGGGCACAATGGGATTTTGCTTTGATTAAATGTCAATGCCTGGAGGAAATAAGTGAGTGTGAACAGATTAAAAAAAAAAGCTTTTTTTCTTTGAATAAGAGGTGTGGGCTGATTTGAGCTCAGTGGGTCCTTGAGCGCTCAATGGAGGACGTTGGTTAGCAGGACAGCTAAGGTTGTGTGTAGTCCCAGAGGATGTGGACATGACATGTTTGTGATTTACTTCATAAAAGTAGAATTGGTTGGAGGGTCTTTCCGTCCTTCTTTGGAAGGTGAGTGGTGAGAGCAGGTAATTTGAGAGCTTCCTTTATACTTCAATTTCAGACGAATGTGTGAGAAGTGTACCCGAGCCTTTATTACAAGGGTTCCTCGCATTACCAAATTCACTGGATAATTTGTTAAAGTTCAGACTTAACGATTAGCAGTCTGTCTGCATTTGCACAGCGTGAGTTAATTATGCAAATACGCACATTTGCTTCAAAGAAGTTCCAGATAATGAACTTGGAATGCAAAATATGAAGGTGCACAGACAATCATTGTGCGTTGTTCCCAAGGGACAAACAGTAAGGGACTTGAAAGAGGAGAATGTGGGTGAGGCAAAGGGAAGAAACAGAGAAAAGGGGTGACGGACAAAGGTAAGAGCTTTGACACAATTAGGAGCCAATGAAAGGCAGACTGCGGGAACAGATATACCTGTGGAGGCTTTGACCCACTCTGTGTGTCCTAAATTGAGGTCCATCTCATGTCAGAGTGAGGTTAAATCCTGGCTGGATCCCCGGAGACCAGGCTATTCTGCTGCTGTGGCATTTGTCCAGGAAGATTCCTCACATTTCCCTCTGTGTGAAAGATGGCTGCCTTATACCCTTTCAACAAGAGTGATGAAGTCAGGATCGACTTGCATTCACTTTGGAATTTCCATGCAGAACAACATCTCTGAGGAGACAAGACATTTTAACAAAAAAGCAACATTCTTTGAAAGTAAAAACAAAATATATCCAATTGTGATGGAGTATTTTACTCATTTCCACCAAGATGTATTCAGTTCACCTTTAAATACCTCTTATTTGAAAACTAGAGACTGAATTCATCAACCTCCTGAAGTGGCAGGTCTTGGATCACTGACCAGGGCCTTCATGCAGCCACCTCATTCATTTTAATTGTCTCTCATACTCTGGAGACATTTGATAAATTAGACCCCAGTGTTCTCAGGATGAATTCACATCAGATTTGTGGTCTAATTATTCTGCCAAGTCCTGTTGATCTTTTTTTTCTAAATGAAACGCCACACCTTATCATATAATTATCTGGTTGTCCAACATTATTCACCACTATAAGAACAGCTTTGCATTTGTAGATCCTGTTCCTTTTTTATTAACGACTATTGATTTCTCCTTCCTGCGTATCTCTGACTTCCTACAGAGTTCAAAGAAGCGCATGTTAAATTAAGTGGGAATTACTTTTGGTATTGATGCTTGAGGACAAAATCTAAACGACTCTTCTCACCTGCACTCTCTCACCCCCCTCTCTCGCTCTGTCTTAACACAGAATACACAGTTTTGCTGTGTCTCTTTAACTCATCAGCCTGCCCTCCAAGAAAGGGTTGAGACAGACAGCGTGACTAATGTGTATGCCCTGTAGAGGGCAATATTGTCTGCAGTGCAAATAGGAGCAATACTTTGAGGCAGTTCTGATGTCTCCGTGTTTCCACTGAATCATAATGACGTAGCTGTGCAAATGTTTTATGCCGTGATGCTAGAGCAATACGTATCAGTCACTTTTCCTGCGGAATTTAAGAGGTCGTTTGGGAGGAAATGTGTCGATCTTTGCTTTCCAAATACCAGACATCATTTGATTCAGTTCAAAATCCCGTACGGGTTGCATTACTCAAGGGTTAAGTGATATAAAACATTTTCCAAATATGTCACCGATCTGTGAAATGATTCAGATTTACTGCACAGCGTCCAAAATAAGAGGATTTCTGGACAGTAATATTTGCATTTTTCAGACTTTTTTAAGGATTACATACTGTAAGACCAGACCTACTTTTGCTTTTGGTTATCTTGGCCACACCAGTGAACACTAGGAGTACACAGCACTGTCTTGTGTCCTGTAACCTTTGGGGAAATAAACTCATCCTCCAACATTGGAAAAAGGTGGACACGCCAACATTTACAGTTTGGGTAACTGCATTGACTGGTTGAAACCCATAATAACATATTCAAAACACAACCACTTGATGCCCTCGATGGGTGGGGTGGGAGTTTAGTTCATGTCGTATGTTACACTGCGTATATTTCAAATGAGGCAATGTTTACACCACAGAAGGCTGTATTAATG